TAAATAAAAAATGAATTCAAAATTATTTAATTAAATTTTGATAAATTCGAATAGATTCGTATTTTTCAAATTAAATTCAATTATTTTATAAATATTTTTTTAATACTGTTTAGTCAAGTAGCAAAGTTTGCATATTTCGAATAAATTCGAATTAGTTCGAATCGCATTAAAATATTTCGTAATAAATTACGTAATATTTCATAATATATTTCGTAATATTTCGTAATTAAAAATTTCGAAATATTTTGCGCCGATTGTAATTATTGCAGAATTTTTCAGGGCGTAATAACTTTCATAAGATTATGTTTATATATTTTGCTGATGATAGCTTATATATATTATTGAGCATTGCTAACTTGCCCCACTGGTGATATCACTCGGTCACGTGACACATAATATTGTACTAAATATGTTTATAGTTAAAACCGGTTTTTAAATTTTGTATACGATACAATTTTATAATTACGTAAATTGAATTATTGGTTAATTGAGATCTGATATAATTCCGAAACTCATTTTGGTCAAATTACATGTTTTTCAATATTATAATGCTAACTCTAATTAGGAACGTTATTGGCTTCACTCAACTTGTATCTTGAGGCATCCAGGACGACCCCCAAAACCCGGGTCATATATTTTATGCAATAGAAACAACGTATATATATTGTTCTGTATAATTCATTTATTTAAAGAACAATAAGCCTTCTCATTGACGAAACAGTCATGTGACCCATTTTTTGGGTGGTTGTCCTGAATGCCTCTTGTATCTTTATCTATTATAAAACCAATTAATTAATAAAGCAGAATAACCCAATAATAGCAACACCGAAAGTTAAATATTTGTACATATATGAATCTGATATCTTGTAGTACATCAATGCATTTGAAAGTAACCAACCACAGCTATATAAAGATTTGTATATATCAATATTGTTACAAATAAATACTCCATTAATAAATTGATACCTTAACATTAATCACAATATTTTATTTGGCATGTTTAACATTGTATTCTATTTGACTAATACAAATCAATATGTATTACATATTTAGACAACGCGAGGCATAATGGCCTGCTTGTTTACACTTGTGACAATGTCTTACTCGTTTTGAACTACTACTACTAGAACTTTCAGCCAACTCATATTACTTAAAACTTGACTTGTTGTATTAATAGTGCTGTGTCCTTTGCTTTTATATGATATTTCACCTCCTGACTTGTATCGCTTGGATTGACGCCCTTTATGTTATACATGAATTAGATCACCAACAATTAGATTTTCAATGCATCTAACATCATTCTGCCGATTATCTAATTCACATTTTGTGTCTTCGATGAACTTTTCCAAATAATTAACCAATTCATCAACTTTATTCACTCTAATTGTGTAATCGAGAGCCTTTTTGGCATAACCCATTCTGAAACCATACTTCTGTTTAGGACCTGGCTTTTGTTTAATACATTCTGTTTTTCTAATTTTTGAAAGGTGATTAAATAATAATGGTTGAGAAAGAAGCTGACACAGCGTATTTTCAACAATTTGATATAACAGAATTGAGGAATGAGTTTGTTGGTCAATACTAGCTTTCTTGTCATTATACCACTATTGCGGAATAAGAGTAATATGAAAACATGCATTCTTAGAGTAAGACATGACCCTGAAAAAATGTCTACAGACAATACCCCGATTATCATATTTCGCCATATAGACCACCCCCATTATAGAAAACCCCAATATAGTAGACCCGGGTCTGTTACTTGGGTATGAAATAAGGTAAAAAGTAAGAGACCCGGGTCTATTGTATA